AATACGAGAGCACTGATTGAGAGTAGCGGAGGAGGGTGGGGGAGAGTGAGATTCGCCTAACGCCAAAAATTTAACTTACCTAAAACATTAGATATGGTATCCACTTTCCTAGTTATATTGACTTGAAATGGTAAAAGGTTTAAGTTTCATCGGCGTACTTGCCCCGTCGTCTCTGATGGATATTTTAGAAGCCGCATAATTCATAGGAAAATAATTCCAATTACAAACTTGGGAAATTTCTCTCAGGCGATGGAGAGATTAAGACCAGGTGCAAGTTTTTCCACGCTCAGAAAGTAAAAGCATCAAAGCGCTGATTAATCCTACGGCAGAAATAGAGACTGTGGAATTTAATACCAATATAAAAACATTTCGTCGATCAAAATACTTCAAAGAAAGACTAGAGGACGCATTTCCTCACACATTTGTTTTCTCAAATACCATTGTAAGGTTAGCTTGTTTTTTTCTTTCTTTCTTTCTTTTTGATGAAGACGTAAACTCCCTAAATCAGTAACGGCACATGTCCATAAACAAGTATTCCTATTTTCACTGAATATCTGTTAAGAAAATACTAACAACCAAAGTGCTCTTCGAAGCGTATTGACCGAGCGCGCGGCATGTGAAAAAGTGTAGATCTACTGAAGAGGAGACGGTGTGAAGCCTGACTGGTTACGATTAAGGAGAGGGAGGAGGGAGATGAAAAGATGCCGGGGGAGGAGAAGGGAGGGAGATAAACGAGGGCCAGGGAGGGAGGGGGAAGGAGAGTGAAGGCGTGGGAACAGGCGGACAGGATTAAAAAGGATGGAAGGAGGGAGGGAGGAGGGAGGAAGGCGGACACAGACAGGATAAACAAGATTGAGAGTGGATTGAAGTATTGATAGGCTGGAGTGAGGGGGAGGATGGATGGAGGAGGGAGGGGGGAGGGAGGGGAGGGAGGGAGGGAGGGAGGATGGGGGTAGGGGAGGGGAGGGGAGGGAGGGAAAGGAGAAAAGAAAAGAAGAAAAGGGGAAGGAAGGAAGAAAAGAAAAGAGGAAGGAAGGAAGGAAAGAAAGAAAAAAAGGAAGGTAGGAACGAAAAAAAAGAAAAGTAACGAATGAACGAACGAGGGAGGGGAGGGAGGGAGGGGGAGGAGGAGGGAGGGAGGGAGGGAGGGAGGGAGGAGGAGGGAGGAGGAGGAGAGAGGGAGAGAGGACGAGGGAGAGAGGAGAGAGGGAGAGAGGAGGGAGGGAGGGAGGGAATGAATGAATGAATTAATAGGGAGGAAAGAAGGAAGGAAGAAAAGGAATGAAGGAAGATAGGGAAGAAAGAAAGGATGGAAAGAATGAAGATAGGGAGGGATGGAAGAAGAAAGACAAGCAGAGAGAATAACAAAAGGGGAGGGAAGGAACACGGAGGAAGCAAGGCGGGAAGAAAGGGGGGATGGAGAAGGCAGCTACGAAATAAAGTAGGTGAAGGGGAGATGGAAAAAGGGAAAAACGGAAGAGTGACGTAAGACCGGAGGAGTGAGGAAATGCAGAAGGGAAGAGGGAGGGAAGGAGGTGGATCGGGTAAAAGGAAGATATGCAGAAAGACTAAACGGCCAAGATGATAGACAATCCAAGCCTGACATTACCAACATTACTGTGTCTTTGATGCAACGATTTTTTTCAATTTCACTACCTTATTAGGACTTCAACACTTTACTGATTAGCTTTCCTAACGTGACGATACATCCACTAGCCAAAGGCTAATTTTTGTCGCTTCCTTGCCATCCCTGGTCAAGTTGCCACTATCACGGCAAAGAATGTGAAAGCGATAGTTGGGCCGAGACTTTTCGAATGTGACTTTCTGTAACTTCCTCAATAACTGTTACAGTTCTGCAATGAATGCTTTTTATGTTGCAATTTATATACAAATATTAGTGCGATTCAGGGGTACACTGATTAGTACTTCTAACCATCACCGAAATATGCGCTGTGGCTGCCCCAACATAAGACACACTCAATAATTCACATTTCTACATCTGTACGCTAATTAGCCTACTGACTCTACCAAATCATTACGAAATTTGCTGTTGGCTAAGATCACTCCATTAGTGTTGTCCACTCATTCCTTTAACAGCCTTGTGCTATGCAATTAATTTCTTTTTCATCGGGGTCTTCCATCTATTTTATCCACTCAGACCGGTCCCCTTTAACATTAATGGCCTTTCAGCCTCACTCCCCACCCCAGGGATATCAAACTCGATTACTACGGCGGCCCAGATATAATGTGTGCACAGGATGAGGGAAGGATTACATAGAAATATGAGCAGGTCGCGGTCACTTTTGGGGAGTAACATGGCAAAAGGGAACACTGGTTTTAGTTTACTCTTGTACTCGCTGATCACTTTGTACATTTACAACTGTAAATTAAGCCATTAACACTAATCTCTAGGTGACTTTGTTCATCTGTTCGTTTGTTGGTGATATTCCATCTAAATTTTTCTGGTCGTTTTTGCAGACGTGTCATAAAAATGAATAAGGTATTCTTAAAAGACCTCCAAAAACATGTTAAATCACAAATTATGGCTGGAGCAGCAAATGGGACAGGACAAGCGGTCTGAAACCCTTGCTCTGCACTTATCTACCAATGAATAATATCGCTTGGTGTGCACTCAAAGCTGGTTAAATGTGTAATAGCTTTAATATGAAGATCAAGACACAAACCTGAGAAATATGTAATGGAGTGCTTTGAGTTCATAGAGTGTCATGAAAAAATTGAGGCCTTCTTATAAAAAAATCACCTTTTCATTCTACAGCTTCAATTTGGCATATTCTCACTCTCCTCTTTTTTCAGTAATGCAAAGTTAGAGCTTCCAAACAAGTAATTGGCTAATGCTTACTGAAGTAAAAATGGAAGTGTGTTCTTAACATGACTTACCTTGACCTTTTTTCCCATACAATCATTACACAGAGATAATCATAAAAGGATACGCAATGATATATCTCTTCATATCTGCTACTTTTGGCACAGTATCTGGTATTCCAACCTGAATTCCAATGAAAATATCTGGAAGTGGCTGTAAAATAAAACAATAAGCATCAGAAATCAATAAATACTTTTTCTTTGCAAATATAAACCCTTCTTGACCTCAGTTCTACAAGAAAATAGCTTACATTTTTTGTGGGGTGTCTGAGACCAGCTGAGGGAAGTTCATTTAGCGTTTGATGAGTTTCACTTTCAGAGGCACCATACTTATTCAGCTGTGAAGAAAATAAGAGCTAATAATAATAAAACATATTTTTGTGAACTAAATTTAAAGAAAAAATCTTATTGAAAGAATATGTACATTCTAAAAAAAACATGAATTATTATGTTAAATACAACCTTATATTTTGACTGCAGATTAAATAATGATATATCCTTTCTAACTTGTGTCAAATCCAAATCATCTATTAATAAGTTTTTGTTTTTTCACCTATATCACTACTTTTCTTCCAATTTGCTTCAAAGTTAAGTTCTGCCTAACTTTTATTACACCTATCTTAATGCAACAAAGATTTCAAAACTAATCTAACATTTATATTCTTACTGCTATGTCTAATAACTAATCAAATTCAGACTGAGATTACCTTTTTATTTGGCTGCCTGTCTCTGTTTTCATCTGAGTGCCTCTTTCCTAATACCGTTCCACTGTGTTCCATCTTTTCTTTTTTTATTTCATCTTCATTTTCTGGCTTTGTTCTGTCCATCTTTACAAAAGCACTAAGAGTTCTCTGAATCTACAACACAAAAGCAGACATATTAAAGATACAGTCAACTTATTGTCTAAGAATTACAGAAGAATTCCAGTACTAATACCAGTACTAATGAGTTATTACCCTACCTTTTCCCTTCCCTTAGCCTTATCTGGGCTCAACGTTTTGGGACTTGCAAAAGCTGCAGATACATTAGATACTTTGGGGCTACTTGCTTGAACTTTTATTGGGGTAGAAGATCCAGAGTCCCCACTCTTCTTCCCATTATCATCATCATCATCTGTTCGTTCAGAAGTCAGAGCTTCCAAATCTGAGCATTCTCTAGATTTCTTATATAGTTCCTGGTAAATGAAACATTGGGTTGCAGTATAAATAAACTTGTAAAGTAAGATACAATTTTCATTAAATTAGCATGAAATGCACTATCAGCATAAGAATATGTCTCAAAGCAGAGTAAGGAAAAGAGAAAAACACTGGTAAAAATTCAAAGATTCTAGGAATAGACATTTCTGGACCATTAAAATTTGTTGACAACTTAGAAACAAATGTTTCTATTAAGACATCAAGGGCATTGACATTTCAGGCCATTCATTTCTTGGTGGCACTTTGGTATCATGGTTTTTAATAAGTGAGCAATAAACTTCCTATATTGCCTGTTTTATATTGCTGAGATATACTTCTAGCTGAGCTAGCTGGAGTGACATGATTTTCACAGGTATACCATGTAACCTACTTTCGTCACCAATATTATTTTGACTACACATTGATAAGAAAACATACAGACCATAATCTGTATGACATAAAAATACACCTACAGGAATACTTGCTAATGTTGCTTACTTGTAAATATGCTAAGTCAGTGGCTTGTTCCCATGTTTTGTCACTCCGTTCTCTTGTAACTCTTGGAAACCTGATAGAGATGCCATCTGCTGTGTGAATCTGATGTCGTGTAAACTCTGCACCAGTTATTTCCCATACTGGTGATTTCTGATCAGGAAAGCAAGAAAAATGAAGCTTTTCATAATCTACTGATAATGACTAACCATGTGGCTTTCAAATGCTATGGAAAATGCATTAATTTCCTGTTTCCATATTTTTCCTTTATGTTCATTCAGCACTTAAATCAGATCTTAAATCCTGTACATTAAAACATATAAGAAAAAGAAGTGAAATGTAATACATCTACTATATATTCCAATACTAATCTAGTTCACACAGAAAAGAACCTGCATATACTACAATCCATCCCTTTTTATTGAGCAATTATGCAGCTATTTATGTAAGTACCTTCTTTAAATGTGTATGTATGTTTGAGAGGTATGATAACTTATATAAACATAAGTGGAATATATAAGAGTTTTTCTACAATAATTTTTGCAAATAAGTGAACTTTTCACTCCCTTTGCAAATAATATACTTTACCATATGATTAGAAAATACCTACTTCAGTAATTATAACAATGATAGAAGATAAAAAACAAAATATATTGAAGGGGAATACATGTTTTCATATATATATCAGTTAACCCCCAGTTAATAAACAAGACAAATCATATATTTTTTATGAAGTATTCTTACTAGCATCACTTTGTTATTTGAATTTGTGCTCCATGGAAAGTTTTAGATTAAGAAATCATATTAAAAAATATGTATATAAATTATCACCTTGGGGTCAGCTGCCACAAAATCTGGGATCATAGTCTTGGTACACTTTAGCCATGCTGGCACACGTTCTGAATCTTGACTGATCTTAACCATATCTAGCTCTGTCTGTAAGCGTGCCAATGTTGCATCATCATGACCTGTGTGGACCTAAATTCCCAAAAGAGAATAGATTATTCTTTTGTCCTCATAAGCAGAAAAGCACGTAAGATCATATATCTGAACAAAAACATTCTTAAAATATAGAGCATCATCTGATATTATTTACAAATGTAGAATCAAATAACCTACCTTTGTGACTGTACACCACTTCTTTATTCTTGCATCATAACATCCCATTAAGAAAACTGACATCATTCCTCCTAAAAAAATATATATTTCAGCATTTCATTTTCACAAGAAGCTAATGATTAAATAAGCTAAGCTCTAAAACTTTTGTGTCCTAT